TTTTTTCTAGAAAATATTATATGTGAACTGCCAGAAAGATAAAAATTTGGTATAAAATTTAATGAAATTTAATGAAAAAATTTATCTGAAAGAAAAATTGGACAGTATACCAAAAAAGTGTCAATAAAAGGACGATCCACTTGATGGCTAAGCTAGAATGTCCAAAAAAAATGGCAATTGATATCAACTTCTTGCTTTTTGAAATACCACAAGGAATGTGCAAAAACAAATGACATCTGTTTGGCAGTTAAAGATTTTATGAAACACAGTATGTTGGATGTCTTAGTACAATAGTAATGTACATAAACATCCATTCATGTACATGTACATTAGTAAATTTATATCCATCAAAAGTTGTGAAAGGAAATACCTCCTGCAGTATTACATGTAATCTTCCTTCATCAAACAAAGATGAAGAATCTGATATTGTTTCCAATACATCAGAATATAATAAATAATCTAATAAAGAATCACAGAAAAAGCAGCATGACTTTGTAAAGTTGTTCAAAATGAAAACTGAGTTCTTCACTTCAATGGTAAAAAAATTAAAAAACAAGAAATGCAAGTTATTATATTAAAAAATTACCATTGAGAAGTTCGCTTAGCAGCACAAACTCTTAATGATGGGAAAGCATTAACAATATCTAATAGAATAACTGATGTATTGGACTGGACAACTGTGGGAAAGCATCAAAGTTATATTTCGTGGTACTAATATGTTACAATACTGGTGTAAAAAATGCATTTGTTGTCATAATCTAACAAAAATTTATAGAAAAAACATTCCTAAACCACATTATTGAGGATGTTAACATCATTTATTGAGTTTAGTTATAAAGAATTTAATTGATCAAACTCTTGGTGAAAAGATAACATCTCCCAATATATCTTAAGATTTTGAACAAATTTATGCAAATCTAAAAAATAACTTTTAACAAAGTGGTGTAAAAATAAAAGTTACATCAGATGGTGCAATGATGTGTGTTTTTTATTATTAAGTCCTAAGAATAAATTTATCCAATTTATTCTTAATTAAAAATAAAATAGGACTTAATAATTTTAATTTATTGTGAAGTGGCATAAAATAATGTTTTAACCTTTATTACGTGATAGTGTTACTTTCCCAAATCACTGTCTAAGTTGAAAAAAAAATTTCAAAAAATCAATGTTATGAGTATTATGAGCATAAAAAAAGTTATTGTTAATGACTTTTTAAAAAACCCCATCGTAGCACAAAATAGCAATAACACAATTAAACATAAAAACTAGTTTTGTAATGTTACCATGGAAACAAAATTAATTTTACCTCAATTGTGTAGATTTTGAATTTCTTCTTAACTGTTGATTGAAAGTAAATTTTAAATCATAAGAATTTACTAAATTTAAGTCACGTTTCAATAGTAGACCAACCAAAAATCAAAACAAAAGAAATGAGAAAAATACTTAACAGTAACAAATGTAACACATCAGTTTGAATGATACTTATTAAATGCCATACTTATCAAATGGCGTAAAGAATGTTTGTCAACTTTAAGAAACAGTTAAATAAACAATTTTGTTCTTGAACATGTGACATAAGTTTGCCATGTGCAAAGCAAGGCAAGAAATAAACATTAATTTATCATAAGTTTCAAAATGAGCATTAATGTATCCAGGGGCGGATCTAGCATTTTAAATGTGTTATGCAAAATTTTTTAATCAATTTACCCACCACCCTCTCCACTAAGTGTTTAAGTATTGTCATTTTTAAAGAAGGGGTGGGGCAGATAACAATATAACAATAATCTAATAAGTAACAAAAAGTAAAAAAAGATTTTAAAATAAAAGATTTTCATATTAAAATAAAAAAAATAAAAGCAACAACAAAAAGCTTTCTATCAAATTTCTGTTTGGTAAACAGAAGAATGTATATATTTCATGTTGGCTTAAAATAAGGTTTTGAGTTTTCAAAACACAGACAGGAAATAATGCAAGGGAGTGCTGCTGTTGTCTGGTCAGCATTTTTTTTTTAACTCAAAAACATCCTTTTGAGTCCTATTATCATCTGCTAGCCATTCTGTTCAGCAACATTTTTTTGCTATTTGCATTTGTTATTAAAACACGCATTAATGAAAAGCATTATATACATCATTGTATATATATATATATATATATATATATATATATATATATATATATATATATATATATATATATATATATATATATATATATATATATATATTTATATATATATATATATATATATATATATATATATATATATATATATATATATATATATATATATATATATATTTATATACAATGATGCATATATATTAAATGCATCATTGTATATATGTTGATTGTTACAGTGAAATAAGCATAAGTCTAGAGGTGCTTAAGTTAGGTTTTTTCCTTTTTAAAAAAAAAAATGAAACTATGAAAACCGCCCAAAAAAGAGTAGCAAATAAGAGTAGCAAATAATACTGTGAAGATTGCATTTTGGCATACAAATGTTTGCATAGAACTTTTTAGTTTCAAAATTAAAATCAGAAATAAAAATTGTTTTGTTTTAAGCATGTTTTATGCTTTTTTATACAATTTTTTAAAGATAATTTCTCCTTTGATGATAATGATGATGATAACGATTATGATGATGTGCATGTATATATATATATATATATATATATATATATATATATATATATATATATATATATATATATATATATATATATATATATATATATATATATACATATACATATATAAATAAACAAGCACATCATCATCATCATCATCATCATCATCATCATGATAATGATGATGTGCCATGTGCATGTGTATATATATATGTATATATATATGTGCATGTGTATATATATATGTATATATATATGTGCATGTGTATATATATATACATATATATATATATATATATATATATATACATACATACACACAGTGCGTGTGATGAATAAAATTGCCCAGCACAATATTTTGCACTTGTAAAACTGAAATGCGCTATTAATAAGTGCACATAATTGCACTCTGCATCAAGAATTCAGGGTTGGAAATTGGTTCTCGAGGGGTTTTTTCATAAATTACCTTTGCAGGTATGGGGAGCGATTAACTAAAAGCATACCAGTGCATACAAGAGAAAAAGCAGCCAATTTTTTGTTTAAATTTTTTTAATGTGAAGTCTGGTAAATCAGGCAAAAAACTTTGATCTTTTGTTAATACATTCATCTATCTATGGGAAGAAATATGTTACTTTGGCTTTGATGTTAAAAAAAAACAATGAAATATTGCGTAGTTTATTTTATTTTATAACCATTCTCAAAAATTTAAAGTTGTTTTAAATTAAGTTTTCAGAGTTAAGTTATTAAAACAAGTTTTAAATTGAATTAAAAAAAGAATTATTTGTAGACTTTTATTTAAATTATTAATAAATTAAGTTATTACTATAATTTTAGTAACTCTGTTATGTTTAACACATGATTTTTAAAACTAAGTTTTCTTGTCTTACTTTTCAAATTTTCGGTTTAAAACTATTGATTTTTTAAAATTCTATTTAGTTTTAATTTTATAATTTCAATTCTCATTTGGACGAATACGTTTTAAAAATAATAAACATTCCAATCTATCTGTTAGCAGTAATGACTTCATAAAGTTCCATTCATTGTTTGTACAAAACTGCTTTGGAACTGAAAGTTTTAAACTGAATGCGCAATTTAATTACTATCAAGTGAATTATTTTTTATATTCAATGGCAAATATCTGGAATAGTAGAACATTCATAACATTGTAATGGTAAAATAAACTGGGAGAACACTAAAACGCTTTCTATTATTTCAAACAACTACACAAGGAAAATTCGTCACAAGGAAATTTGAAATACTATGCATACAACGTTCAAAACCTAAAGAAAACGTTTTAAATCGTGACAATGGCAGTTTGTTGATGACTCACCATTTGAAACCATTTTTTTTTAAACTAAAAAATGTTTAATATCTGACGTTGCAATGACATCATTTGGTTACATTCATTAAAATTTTTTAAACGTTTTTTTTAAACAGTTTTATTAGTTTGATAATAGTACTTACTGTATGAGCCAAAATATTACTTAAAAAAGAAATAAATAGTATGGTACCGAATATGATGTTTTAATGCTTATAATATATATATATATATATATATATATATATATATATATATATATATATATATATATATATATATATACACAAATATAATATATAAATAACTTATATATTGATGTATATATGTAGAAATCCGTTTGTTACATCAGTAAATGATGAGCGCATAAAACTAATGATAAACAGTAGAATCCTGTTAACTCAGACTCTGAAGAGATTTATATTTTGTCAGACAAAATGAATTAAGCAAAGCTCTCCATATGTCAGACATTTTGAAAATGTCTGACTTATGAGGGTTAGGACACTTAGTATTTTGAATTTTTCTGTTTAGCTTCAACTTTTTAAATAAATAGAGTTTAATATAAACTTGACCGATTTAAAGATATCAGTGAAAATATTTAGTTTGTTAAATTATATTTGATACTAAAGTATTTGATATTCAAATTTTTAAAATTTTATTTTATGTTTTTGAATTTTAATTATAGTATATTCGTTTAGGTTTCATTAAGTTTCATTATGGTTAGTTGTAAACATTTCATATTTTGCATCTCAAATTTTATCAAGTTTCTAAACTTTGCAAATATTCCAGTACTTGCATTGTGTTTCATAGTGTTTTTTTTTTTTAATAACAATTTTAAGTACTTAGGAATTTTATTTTATTCAATAATTTTTGTTTTTGCAATATTGGTGTTGCAATTATTCTTCCCTTGGTTATTTTTAAAACTTTTATAGTGGAGTGTGGTTGCTCAAAACTTTTTTCTAGATTATCTTATGTTAGTAAAAATTTATTTGTGTTGTTTTGTTAAAATGTTGAATCAAACTTAATAATAAGTTTTTTTATTTGATTTTTTATAGAAAAACCAAGTCTAAATATCACATCTGAATCTGTAACAATTTATATCAAAGATGGTGCTCCAATCACATTGGATAAAATAGCATTAACATCAACTGTTGGTCTGAAAAGTTTTGAATGGTATTTTAATGGAAAAAATTTGTCTAGAAACTCAAAATACAATTATACTTCAGATTACAAACTAATAGTTAATCAACCTGTTGAATCTGATTCTGGAATTTATCAAGTGTTTTATTTTTTTGATGGATTTGAATTAAAGCATTCTTTCAATGCATTTTTTGTTAACGGTTAGTCTTTTTACAATTTTAAAACAACAAATATTGAATACATGATAACCACAGTCCTTGAGTGTTCATGATTTTTACAAGTGAAATGTCCTGGAAAATTATATTTGTTCAAAAATTGTTATGAAATTTAATTGTTAAAATTCTATATCTACCATGTAAATAAAGTATTATATATGTAAAATAAAATTATATTTTTAATTTTTTTTTAATTTACAATATTTTTATTATATAAATCTATTACTATGTTTTTTTTATTAGATAAATTTGTTACAGTCACCAAGTTGCTTACTTCAACATTAACTTTATCTAGTAGAGTTTTAACAACAAATTTTAAAACCTTATCCCATTCTACTGATGCTGTAAAAGTCTCTATTTTTTCATTGAACAAATCTACTTGTCTTATTATTTCATCTGGTCATTCGGTAGCAATCAATTCTAGTCAATCATTAGCAATTATATTACCATCTCTTGTTCCTAAAAAAGAGCTTATAAAAAAAGGTATGTGTTACTCTTTATGTTTTAATAAATGATTTTTTTAAATACATTTGTTGCATATCATGATTAGTATAATTTATTCTAAAATATAGGATGTGTGAGTGGATGGTATTTGATGTTTAAATACAGAAACCACTAGTAAAACAACTAATGAAAATAGAAACTAATAAAGATATTTTTTTGATAAATACATAACTAACTATTGACTTCAAGTAAATTTTTATAACTTTTTGTAATTTTATGTTTCAGTAATAGTACTAACAAAATATTTATGCTTTTTGTTTTTGGCCAACCATCTTTTTTTGATTTTGCAATAACGTCTAAATAGTTTTATTTTTTGTGTTGCAAGAAGCTTGTGTATAATTTATTTTTATTAACAAAGTTAATAATGCTTTTTGTTGCAGGTTCATTAATAATTAGCCTGTCTATTGGAAGTGCTGTTTTGGTTATTGGTTTGTTGATTGGCCTAATTATGAGGTACTAAGTGTCTTTAAAATCATGCAGTGAATTTAGTTTGTTTTTTTTTGTTTTATTTTTGTTTGTTTTTTATATCAGCTGCAGAACTGCATGTTGAAGTTTTTTTTTTACTATTTTTGTAATACTTATCAATATGAATTTAAAGTATTAATTGATACTATCTTAAGAACATTGTATTATAAGTTTATACATTACAGTGAAACTGAAAACTGTTTTTAAAGATGATACTTAGGAAGATTGACAAAAAATATTTAATAATGAATAAATTTTGTCAATTTTGTTAATGGTATAGTATTAACTTGGTTCCAATTCAATATTAATACAATCATTTTTAATAAATCAAGGTGATCTAGTACCAAGTTTAACAATGGTTTATTTTTTTTTTGCTGCATTTTTTCAATCTTTTTATTCAATTTAATGTCTATTATATTAATATATTATATATATATATAAATATGTGTATATATATATATATATATAAATATGTATATATATATATATATATATATATATATATATATATATATATATATATATATATATATATATATATATATATACATATATACATATATATATATATATGTATATGTATATATATATATATATATATATATATATATATATATATATATATATATATATATATACACACACACACATACATATTGTTTTTTGCATGATAAGCAAAAGTGACTTTAATGGTAAAAAGAAGTCTCTTTTACTGCTTTTTTTTTATCATTTAAACTACTTTTAATTGTTCAAGAAATAGCAATTTAAAAATATACTATATGAACCCCTAAATGTGTTTTATATGATATAGCAAGACTTCATTTTAAAAATTTTAGAATAAAATTTTATTTAAGGATTGCACATGATGCTTAAAAAAATGTTATTAATAAATACCAGGTATTTAATATTATAAAATAGATGTTTTATGTCATTTCTGGTACTAAGTTTAACAAACTTTTTATGTTATGCTATAAAATTAAAAATTCTAAAAAAAAGGTGTTTGTTAAAAAAATGTTTTAGTTTAACTTATTGAGCACCACTAAGCGCTATCATGCTTAAAATACTTTATTTGCTTATTATTTTGTCAAATGATAACTTCGTTTTTTGATATTTGCAATAACAACTAAATAAAATTATTTAGTTCTTATTGCAAATATCAGAAAAAGATGCTTGTTCAAAAACTTTAGGCATTACTTATTTATTAACATTAAACAGGTTTCTGAAGAATTAAAAATTGCTCAGTAAAATACTTTTATTTGATTCTTTAATCAAACAAACATAATCAGACAAAGCCAGCAATCTTCTAAATAGAGGAGAGTTATTAAAAAATTATCTAGAAAATTCCCATCATATTTAATGAAATAAATCATCAAAATCACAAATATATTTAACATACAAAATACAAAATAGTTAATCAAAGATCATGAACAACAAAATAGAAGCAACCACTTTAATTATTTTTTCATAAACATTTTATCAAGTGTCAGTTGAAGATCTTTCCAGAAAAAAACTTTTCCATACCTCAAAAAAATTCGAATTAATAATAAAGATATTTAATTTAAACTCTAACCCTTATTAACCCTACTTATTATGATGTTATTTCATTCATTTCAAATAAATAGAATTCTATTGTTTTTATTGTTATTATTGTTGTTGAGTACTTTTTGGGTGTATAGTCTGTCTTATTTATTTTGAAATATTCCTCTATTAATCTTTATATTTGTTTTGATAACTGTTAAAATATGCTTTGTTTAATCAATAATTCTCCTTTATTCTAATGAACTTCATTTTAACAGACATTTTATTGTTTATTCATCTTTGTTATATAATAGATGTGATTGTGACTTTCTTAACCTTTTTTTATTCACCTTTGTGATGTGACTGTGATTTTAACTTTCTTAACCTTTTTTTATTCATCTTTGTGATTTGATTGTGATTTTAACTTTCTTAACTTTTTTTTATGCATCTTTGTGATGTGATTGTGATTTTAACTTTCTTAACCTTTTTTTATTCATTTTTGTGATTTTTGACCTTTGACCTTTCTTTAAACTAGTGGATTAAAATAGCTTATTCTACAAATTTTTTTTATTCACAAGTATTAAATGCTGTAACACAATTAACTGTAATGGTTTATTTGAAATTCATTTTTTTATTTTATTGAACAGAATATCAGATATGGTAATAACATAAAAAAACTAGTAATTTAAAATAATGTAAAATACAAAAGTATTATTTTTATAATAATAGATGCAAATGGCTGCATTATATATTATAAATACTCAGTCAAAAACACTTTTGCTCTTGCACTTTTGCTAAAAGATATCATTCTCTACGTTTGTGATAATGATATCTTATAGCTCCTGCAAATTTTGCAGAGTTTCAATGTTGGAATTGAATTAACTGAGCGGAGGTAGTTTAAATTATAAATCGATCCCAATAATGACTTATATGTTAATGTTAAGTACTGCTTTTTTAAAATTTTGTCCTGCCAAATTTCAAGTATTTGTGAAATATTTAAAAAATGTTAAAAACTTTTTTTAATGTAAAATGATTTTTGTTTACATAACTTGTTTACTTAATCATTCAACATTTTCAAATTTTACAGACCTAGAAAAAAAATTGATTGAGAAAAATATGTTCACAGAAGTTAAAAAAGTTATACTTGTTTTTCCATGCCAAAGATTACTCCTAAATACAACAAACCTAAATACAAGACTTGTATACATTATTATTAAATACAACAATAATTATGGGTTGGTACAATTGGTAGAGCTGAGCAGAATGGCTGAGCAAATCAATTCAGCAGAGCTGGTTATAAAATCAGCGAGTTCTTTATTAATAATATGGAAAATAATTTTCCAGATAACGAGCATTCCAAATCAAAAGTTAATTTTAAAAAGAATCAAAGGTTTAGAGACTTCAGTCTTGTGCACAAATGTTTTTTATGTTAGTTAGTTAATAAAAAAAGTGATCTGTTCTAATCTGTGATCTGAAAAATAATTTAGCTGATCACATGTTAGAAATAGGTTGTTCAGATTTTTGCAAGTTGAAGTACAATGTATCATATTTGATCAATGGCAATGTATCAAAGATCAATGGCAAAATTAATTTTATCCTTATATATATATACCCTTTTTATTATCAACCTTTAATCAAACATGAGACATTGTATCTGAATTGATTCTTTCTACCATTAGGTTTTCAATTTATATTTTTTAATACACCATTAAGTTTTAATATTTTAATATAGCATCAATTTTCATTGCATATTTAACAGATTGCAATGCAATAATTCTAACATTTTCATTCTAACATTTAACTTAACATTTTCAAACAAATATAATAAAACAACAAGTGTTACATCATGGTATGGGGGTGTATTTTTCATATTTGTAGAAATCAGATTTGTCCCCAATTTGATTAAAAAAAGATTTTAAAATTGCAAATTTTTTACTACCACACACAAAATAAAAAAATTATCACGAATGATGGGTGGATGATGATGACATTAATGATGATGTTTCCAGCAGGATACTGCCTAAATAACACTTTAGAAGTCATAAATTGATTTATATTAAATAAAATTTATTCTTAGTTCTGTTTCTTCTTTGTTCTTTGTTTTTTTTAAAGTTTTTATCTAAATCAGATTGTCAGGTTTAAAAAAATTTTCAAACTAAAATGTTTTGTTACAGGTTTACACCAAAATTAGAAATAAAAACAAACAATATGCTTTTCAGGTTCAATGTTTTAAAGTTTTGGCGATTATTTTAAAAGAATATGCCACTATATTTATGAATACAGTTATAAATTTTATAGCTTTGATAGTTTTTGTTTCATGACCTTTGATAGATCTTTTTTTGCTTTTTATTAACTATATTTAAAAATTACCTCTAATCAAAAACATCAAAGTTCAATTAGTTTATCAAACAAATGTTACTGTAATAATTGTAATGTAACAATGTTAGAATTAATAAATGTTAATTTATTACATAATTAAATAAATTTATTACTCAATTAATTATTATATAGTTAATTAAACAATAACAGTTGTTACAATTAATGTAACATAAGTCATTAAATAATGTCTAATTAATCTTAAAAATTACTTTTATAGAAAACGTTGCTTTATAAAAAAAGGTACTAAAAAGAAAGAAATTAAAGGAATGGAAATGTCAGGTATGTTTATATTGCAATGGGTAATATGTGAAACAATTTTTGTTTTAAATTAATTTTTTTTGTCAAAAAAAGAAATTAATTTAATTTATCTACAATATCAAAAATATTAATACCAAATTCAGTCAAATACTCAATTTTTTATTCTATAAATAATCAAGTGACTTTGTTTTCAATTTTAGTTGATGTAATAATATTATTTTAAAAAAAAATTGTTAGTAAAAAAAAAAACTAAAAAACTCAAAGCAAAAAATATAGTTTTCCATGTCTTGATCTACAAAAAAAAACTTGATCTACAAATCTTTATCTACAAATATTGTTAAAAGATTTTGAATTATTTTTGTGATATCAAAATTAAGTTGTTGCTTAACAAAATCTATCCACTTCGCTAATTAACTCCTGTTAATTAATCAAAATTGCATTGGGGTGTTTTGTGAGACATTTTCTGCAATTAAAAAAAATAGTTTCTTTTTTAGATAAATAAACTTTGTTTATCTAATATATATATATATATATATATATATATATATATATATATATATATATATATATATATATATATATATATATATATATATATATATATATATATATATATATATATATGTATATATATATATATATATATATATATATATATATATATATATATATATATATATATATATATATATATTTAAATTATAAAGCATAAAACAACAGCTGCGTACAAACTAAATTTTTTCTTTGTAATATTTTGACCTGTTTTTGCACAGATCGTCATCAGACATGAAATATAATACAAAAAATTGTTACAAATATTACATAAAAATGTCAAAGAAGACATTAAAAAGAAACCATAAATAATATGTAACAACGTAAATATATAATTAGCAAATATTATTTAAGTCCGTTTTTTTGGATAATTTTTTTAAAAAAGGGTCTCCATCTGTTTGTAGAAATTTTAACGCCATTATCACGGTTGAGAAGTATAGGAGCGTGATTTCTTTCCAGGTATGTTGATGTGTAATTGATTTCAAGTGGTTCTCTAAATTTATGTTCATCGTATTCTGATTTTATTGAGAGAGTTTTCAGATTTGACCAATCAAACATACCATTACATTCTCTACCGTGTTCAGTTGCACCAGATGCATCCCATTTACCTTTCAAATAGTTTTTTTGATGTTCAATGCATCTCATGAAAATTTTCTTTTTTGTTTCGCCAATGTATATACTGCCACAAGAGCATGTGATTTTGCAGACACCAGGATTGCTATTGGGAATTAACTTTGACTTGTTGTTGCATAAAATGTTTTTTAATGTAGGTGGAGTAGTAAAAATTATTCTGATGTTGTAATGTTTAAGTTCTTTTCTAAGTTCTGGACTTTTTGGGAGCAATGGAAGCTTAATATATAGCTTATATATATATATATATATATATATATATATATATATATATATATATATATATATATATATATATATATATATATATATATATATATATATATATATATATATATATATATATATATATATATGTATATATATATATATATATATATATATATATATATATATATATATATATATATATATATATATATATATATATATATATATATATATGTATATATTGGCCATAATCTATTTTTGGGTAGATTTCTTGCTATTGTAACTGATTTAAGAAGTCTTTAATATTAATTATTTTCAAAAATTTATGATGCATTATGCATATAATCATTAGGTTTACTAAAAGCTATTTCAATGTTGTAATTCAAATTGTTGTAGTTTGTACATTTATTAAATTTTACTTGGTTATAATTCATATACTTATGAGTTTACATTCAGTTATTTAAAAATCAAAAGGAGACTAAACCCAACCTAAACCCACTATCGGTCCTCAGGCGTAAGAACTTTTTTGTTTGAGAATTTATTGCAGATTACTTTGTTTATTTTATCAAAAGGTTGCTCATTTTCTTCGTTAGAGTAAGGTAACGTAAGTAAAAGGGTTACTTTGACATGTGGGTAACATTGATATGTATTAGGTGAAATGTTTTTGCCAGTCACCCGTTGATTATTGTTTAAATAATTTTAACAGATGTTGTAGCCAGATGTTAAATGAACAAATATAATTATTTTTATCCACATAATAGTAAATGTAAATAACAACACAATATGGAGGGCATAACTTAAACTAATTTCTTTTTTTTGTTGTTGCTGAAAAACTTTAGTCCAAAGAAAAGTAAAACCTTACTATAATATCATTTTACATGTGTTTTTATAATTTTTTTCTAAATACTAAGCATTTAATTTTTTTTTGTAGCATTTTTTTTTTAAAATGCATATTTCAGTTTTGGGGTAAAATTGACAAGAATGCTCAAGTCACCCCATGGGCCAAGAATCAAGCAAAAGTTGGCAGAATGTCTTATATCTGATGAACCTTTTGCAATTACATAAAATGGAATCAAACAAAGCAAACCCTAAATTAAAAGTGTAATTTAAAAAAAATGTACCAAAACATCAAATATCAACAGATCTAAAAACCGACACTTGCAAAAAGTTAAGACCCACATCTAACAGTGTTGCATAATATTGGTAAGAACAAAACATCGTTACGATTTACATCTTTTGAATGCTGCTTATTTTTAAATCAAAAATGTAGGTTGGTGTTAATATATATTAAAAATGTTTTTTATATTTTCTTGTCAATATTTCAATGATAATGTTACCCCTCATGATGTAACTTTAATATTTCCAGCATAAAACATACTACTGCTAATGTTTCCCCATATAGGGGTAACATTGACTGTTAAAGTTCAAAAACAAAATTAATTATCTATCAATAATATTAGATAACTGATTAAATTCTTCAGTTTATGGCAGCAACATCATTGGTAAACACATAGAATTATTGCATACAAAATTTAGTTTGTCACAGCTAAAAAAAAAATTATTTAATCATGTGTCCATGTTACCCCACTTTACCTTACAGAATACTAAAACATGCTGATTTTCAAACACTTTTAATATATGATTTTTAGGAAATGTTGTTAGTTTCTATAATTGAATCTAAAAAACTAAATAATTTAGTCAGTACGTTGTCATTAATAGATATAAGAATATCTTTTTATTATTATTATCTTATTTACTATTGTTATCTTGTATATATATTTATTGCCAAACTTAATAGTAGTGTTAGTTGTAGCAGTAGTATTAGTGCTCCTTCAAGCGTGTTTGATACAGAACTTTTGGCGGCCATTGCAACCCAGGTATTGGCAAGAAAGAGTCACAGCACCTTTTATTTTAACAAAACATGAACGAAAGTGTATGCAAGATCTCCTTAATTTTGATCTATAGCATTTATTTCTGTTTCATAAAGTCTTTCGTTTGTTAAATAGTTAAAAATTTATGTCAGACAAACCCCCTGCATCGCTGAGTGGCTAGCTTGCAGAGTTTCACAGGCTTCCTTTTTTTTAATCTTTTTTGATTTTTTTAAAATAGAAATAAAACACTTTTGAAGTTTTATAGATATTATATACATGACACATGTAAAGATATGTTATGTGTATAATATCTATAAAAAATTTTCTTCCTTTTATTTTTGAAAATTCTCTTTCTTTTATACTATAACAAATAAAAGAAAGGGAATTTTTAAAATGCAAAAAATTTCTTAACACTTCAAAACACTCAAAGAAATTTGTTGCATATGTGTCATGATAAGATGACATGTTAATGTGCTCAGTGTCATGTTTATTAATATTAAATCATGAGTTTGTTAATTTTTGGAAAATTTTCCCACCCATCCTAAGCTTATTAAGACCCCTTCAAATCTAAAAAAATGTCATCGTCAATCATGCTTTTATATTGCTCATGCCATAAAATTTGGCCTGACAAATTATAATTGTGATTTAAAAAAAAATCTGACAACGTGCAGTAGGCCAGAATTGTCTAAAAATGGCAAAACTATTTATGAGCTAAATATAGCCATATGATACATATTTATAGGGGGTTTGAGAACCAAGGATTGTATTTTTGGACTCAAGTTTGGAGTGGTCACAACCATAGGTGGTAATTTTTGGGGTTGTTAAAGGTGATCATGGGGTGTCTCGATGGTTTTTAAATTAGATGGGTCATGTTGTTTGACTAAATATAAGTAATTGCGTCCAGGAACCGCAGTTACTTATATTTAGTTATTACTTATACAATCGAAGTCTGGGCATATTTGGTCTTAAATGGCCATTTTAGGGTGGTCAAAGTTGGTCCTGGGATGCCCCAATGGTTTTTCATTTAGATGGGTTGTGTTGTATTTCTAAATATAGTTAATTGTGGTCTGGGAATTTTTATCTAGGCATAATCGGTCTTCAGGAGTGGTCACAACTGCTCAAGTGGTCATTTTAGGGGTGGTCAAGGGTAGTACTGAATTTTCCCAAAGGTTTTTCAATTGGATGGAACAGTTGCATGTCTAAATATAGGTTGGGGAATTTAAATCTGGGCATATTTGGTCTTCAGGAGTGGTTATGATTGCACAGGTAGGTGTGGTCATGGTTTGTAAAGACGTTATTTTCTTAATTTATTTTATGTACTTAATTTCTTTGATATTGTGAATGTAAACATATAACGTTCAATAATATTAAACTTTATTAACATAATTTTTTTTATATATAAGAATCTAGGTGATGACATACATTAGTGCATCAAAAGCCCTTTGGCCTCCTCAGTCTTTGACTTTTCCCTTCTTCCTCCTTATGCTGGACACCTTATTATCGTAGCTGCAAAGCATTTTTATAATAAGATCATAGCTTGTTTGGGGCCTGGAATTTCATTGAGTTTTAGTGTAAAAAAATACTATTAGGGTGTATGAAATGATTATTTTTTATAAATAGTATACTGTTTTTCCATTTTTTTGGGTGTCATTTAAATGAACAAAACACATATTACTCATTTAAATGCAATTTTCTAAATAAAAACAGCATTTTAGAAAAGTTATCTAGACAACATTAAAACTGAAAGTACTAGATGAT